TGTGAAAAAAGTGATTTCAGAACAGTACACCTCTGCTGTTTTGAACATATATGTATTTTTGTAATGTGTTGAAAAATCAATACAAGAAAGCCAACACTTCAATAAATGTTGCAATTGCTCTATGATTGAAGCAAAATTTCATTCTGATTATTTTATCTGCCTTTTCTTCTGCCACCACATATGGTCACTTCTTTTAATGAAGTACAGTTGTAAAGACATATATAATTAACTGGATTATTTAAGTGGCAATTTAGCCGTCCCTGGTAGGCTAGTGGTTAAGGCGCAGCGCTCTCACTGCTGGGGCCCGGGTTCGAATCAGGGTTGTGTCAGGAAGGGCATCCAGCATGAAACACGTGCCAAATACCAACATGCAAGTGTGACAATTTGCTGTGGTGACCACTAAATGGGAAAAGCCAAAAGTGTCTTTCTTATTTAAGTGACAATTACTGAATCAGGAAGGGAATAGCTACATCACTATTTCTTACACAAGTGAATGGTGCATTTCTACACTATTGCCACTAAACCCATAATGCACTGCTGCTAATTGTTTAGTTTGACCTCTAATCTGATGTTGTCTTTAGGACTTGGAAAACTGAGTTTAATGGAGATCAGACCCTGCAGGAAGTAAGCGTAAAAAGAGGAATAGAACACAAAAACAGATTATAAACATAAATAAAACTAAAAGCATGGAATACATGTCCCTATAATTTTGTATTTTGTCACATGAATGTGCTGAAGAACGCTCATGCATGTCAGATTTGCCAATGCTTAATAAAAATGTTTGATTGCACATGTGCCTCAGTTGGTTGGCTTCCCTCATTTATACAGTGCCTTGCGAAAGTATTTGGCCCCCTTGAACTTTGCGACCTTTTGCCACATTTCAGGCTTCAAACATAAAGATATAAAACTGTAATTTTTTTGTGAAGAATCAACAACAAGTGGGACACAATCATGAAGTGGAATGAAATTTATTGGATATTTCAAACTTTTTTAACAAATAAAAAACTGAAAAATTGGGCGTGCAAAATTATTCAGCCCCCTTAAGTTAATACTTTGTAGCGCCACCTTTTGCTGCGATTACAGCTGTAAGTCGCTTGGGGTATGTCTATCAGTTTTGCACATCGAGAGACTGAAATTTTTGCCCATTCCTCCTTGCAAAACAGCTTGAGCTCAGTGAGGTTGGATGGAGAGCGTTTGTGAACAGCAGTTTTCAGTTCTTTCCACAGATTCTTGATTGGATTCAGGTCTGGACTTTGACTTGGCCATTCTAACACCTGGATATGTTTATTTGTGAACCATTCCATTGTAGATTTTGCTTTATGTTTTGGATCATTGTCTTGTTGGAAGACAAATCTCCGTCCCAGTCTCAGGTCTTTTGCAGACTCCATCAGGTTTCCTTCCAGAATGGTCCTGTATTTGGCTCCATCCATCTTCCCATCAATTTTAACCATCTTCCCTGTCCCTGCTGAAGAAAAGCAGGCCCAAACCATGATGCTGCCACCACCATGTTTGACAGTGGGGATGGTGTGTTCAGGGTGATGAGCTGTGTTGCTTTTACGCCAAACATAACGTTTTGCATTGTTGCCAAAAAGTTCGATTTTGGTTTCATCTGACCAGAGCACCTTCTTCCACATGTTTGGTGTGTCTCCCAGGTGGCTTGTGGCAAACTTTAAACGACACTTTTTATGGATATCTTTAAGAAATGGCTTTCTTCTTGCCACTCTTCCATAAAGGCCAGATTTGTGCAGTATACGACTGATTGTTGTCCTATGGACAGAGTCTCCCACCTCCGCTGTAGATCTCTGCAGTTCATCCAGAGTGCTCATGGGCCTCTTGGCTGCATCTCTGATCAGTCTTCTCCTTGTATGCGCTGAAAGTTTAGAGGGACGGCCAGGTCTTGGTGGATTTGCAGTGGTCTGATACTCCTTCCATTTCAATATTATCGCTTGCACAGTGCTCCTTGGGATGTTTTAAGCTTGGGAAATCTTTTTGTATCCAAATCCGGCTTTAAACTTCTCCACAACAGTATCTTGGACCTGCCTGGTGTGTTCCTTGTTCTTCATGATGCTCTCTGTGCTTTAAACGGACCTCTGAGACTATCACAGTGCAGGTGCATTTATATGGAGACTTGATTACACACAGGTGGATTCTATTTATCATCCTTTGTCATTTAGGTCAACATTGGATCATTCAGAGATCCTCACTGAACTTCTGGAGAGAGTTTGCTGCACTGAAAGTAAAGGGGCTGAATAATTTTGCACGCCCAATTTTTCAGTTTTTTATTTGTTAAAAAAGTTTGAAATATCCAATAAATTTCGTTCCACTTCATGATTGTGTCCCACTTGTTGTTGATTCTTCACAAAAAATTACAGGTTTATATCTTTATGTTTGAAGCCTGAAATGTGGCAAAAGGTCGCAAAGTTCAAGAGGGCCGAATACTTTCGCAAGGCACTGTAGAGTGTTAGGAATTAATTTTAAGAAGTAAAAATTAGAAATAAGACAAACTACAATTTAAATACAGGACTTATCTGCTGTGATTATGTATGAGCATCTCTGCAGTGGGCATGCATGGGATTTTTGGCAGCGAGGACAAAAAAGAAGACAGGACAGCCAGATCAGATAATGCATGTTGATTCCTTGACACTGAAAAAGAAGAAGTTATCAGAAAGGATTACAATACTGTACACACTTATTTTAAACTACTGGATTTACCCTGATGTTGTGTAACTCTTGTGCTAAGTTGCAGTGGCTTTCTGAGACAGTAGATGCCTCATCAAGTCGAGTGTGTCTTTGCTGCATAATTTGCATGCTGCTGCAAAAATTTAAAATTCACATTTTTCCTGATGGTGTAGCCATGAGAGGAAGTGCAAACTGCAGCAGATGTTGGATGATGCTAGTGTGATGTCTAAAGGTCCCTTAGTTGTTTTTATGGATCAAAATTAAGAAATAGCATTTGTGTTGTCATTGGAGAACTTGCTAACTTGCTGTTATTTGACCAAATATTCTTGGACAAGACAAGGCACTGAATAAAACAATGGTAGTTTGTAAGTCTTAGAATCTGATAATCTGGTGGATAAGACTCGGACAAAAAACATCTCACATTGTACACATGCACTTTCCTAAATTTAAGTTCAGAGATGACTGCTAGTACAACTCCCTTGTTTTCAGAAAACAATACAACTATGAATGTGAGTCACAGTTTTTATTTCTGAAGGTTGCTGTTGACAGTCTGATGGTTCATAAATGAGTCCTGGCATGAGTATGGGGACCCATCAGGTATTTCTTGATATCAAGCCAATAACAGTCAAGCCTGTCCTTGCTCGAACCTCCAGGCCATTGGATAGTGTAACAGAAATATTGAATGTACGGTGTGAGTACGTGCGCTCGCTCAAAGGAAAAGCACGAAAAGAGCGAAGAGACACAACAGCAGAGTGAAGATAGAGGAGTAAAGAAAGGAAAAGAGCTGGATTGTGTGAGAAAGTTGAATTACGAGGAATTTTTTATGCTTGCCAGCTCTTGCCACACACGTCGACCCATGAAGTGTCTCTGTGTCTCGACATTATGTATAAGTCGCTGTAAAAATATAACATCAAAATATTCTGAAAATAATGATGTTTGGAGGATTTTGGTGTTTGTAGGAAGGATCTGATTGTGACTTTCCCATCAGTGTGTGTTGGGAAAGGTCTTATCCTAGCCAAGGCATAACTACTGGCATAGCCATTATGACCTTAATGGCTGCAGATGCTTTTAATAAAACACACACACACACACACACATATACATCTGATTAAAACTTATTATGTTTAATTATGTTTAAAAGTTATGTCAACTGAACCGAACTGTTCAGTGTTTGCATACACAGAATCTATTTACCTTAAAACATTGAATTTGTATGGTGTAACACATTTCTTATCAAACTGGCATGTTTGACAACAAAGTTGTGTATTTGTCTTGCAAAATTACAAATCATATTACAACCTCAAGCATCTTATCATACAATTTATTTTGGTAGAACCTTATGCCAAGACCGAAGTATGTATTTCTTTAAAGAGCTACTCTCCATATAATCAAATGGATTATATGGAGAGTAGCTCACAGGCTCATTCTGGCCACTTCTTTGCCACAATTGTGCAGTTCACATGTGACATGAAGCTAAAAAGCCATCTTTTAAGCTTGTTCAGGAGAAGGCCCCATCCTGTGTGCCCAGCGTCATGGGAGAAAAGTGGTCTGGAGTGCTGGTGGTGAGGAGGTGCCACCAGAAAGCACTGGGCAGACGCCCTACAGTCACAGACAGAGAGTCACAGAGTGGGAGATGGGAAATCATGGTTTGGAATAAAACCATGTCCTCAGGGAACAGGGTGTCGCAGGGATTGCGGTTCACGTCCTGGGCCACACAGACCCACAAAGCTACCGCAGAGACCTTACTTTCCATTAGATCACAGGACTCAGGCCCCACTGGCCTCTCTGTAGATATCCAGTTACTAATCTCCCAGCCCTGACCAGTACTCTGCCCGTCCCAAAGGCAGACTGGGCTTCGCCCAGCAACACAGCGACCAGAGTAAATCTGGTCCAGCTGGATGTGCTTGGGAACAGGGCAAAAAAGGGATGGAAAGAGGCAAGGAAGTGGGAAGGGTAGAAGGAGTGATGGATGGAGGGAGAGCAAGGAGCGGTGGTCAAGAGACAGAGAGCAGTGTGGTCGAGCATGGTCACTCAACGTCTGTGGCCTGGGAAGATTGTCTCTGCTGGGAGAATCTGACCTAGAGGAACAAAAGCTTTGTGGTCATGTCAAGCGTGTAACTAAAGGACAGGAAATGCAAACTTTTTCAGAGGGAGGCAAAAC